AAGGGATCAAGCCTCTCTTTGGAAAAATAAAGCCAAGGAAGCTATGTGACAAGCCACTGGACACCTGACATAAGACCTGAAGACAAACTCTGGCACACACAAACTGCCTTTAAAACAGCAGCGGAAACTTAACTTTGAGGTAACTGTTCCTTTTTTAGCACTAAACTTTTGACCAGAATCAGGTGTTTTTACTTAAAAAGGAGCAGGAGAATGTAAAAATAATAATAATAATAACCGTCTCATCTGACTTCCTGCCAAAAGTTTAATTAAAGGTGTTTTTAATTGTCTATGTGGACTGATTTAGTACACTGATTTAACCCTAACCCTCCTCAAAGGTATCAAAACACAGAGAATTTGAACATCATCACACCTCAAAAGCACTAAATGTTTTGTAAATATTCCAAAATGCGACACGGTCATCAGATTTTGGAGCTGCCTAATGCATTTGTGCATTATTCTGCAGTATTTATGCTCCATATTGTAGGCGTGGAGGATATTAGAAAGACAGAGCCCTCTTATGAAAAGAGCTGACCAATCAGCACAGACTAAAAAGAGGAGGGAGGTAGTGAAGGAAGGGAAGTCAATTAGACAGGCCACTATGGCAAATGAGGGATGATATCCTCGTTCAGGAGTAATGGGAAGGTGGAGGAAGAGAGGAGGCATTTGGGCCATAAAATATTACTAATGAAGCAGAATTTACACAACCTGCTGAGGTGAACAGATTAAAAAAAAAGCGCCCATAAATGAAGAACAATCAGCCAATTATGTGCTGTTCTGAGCAGGTTCAGAAAGCTTTCTCTGTGCAGTTTCCACTCCCGGCAAACCTTTCTTAGTCATCAATAAAAGCGCGTTTGTGTGCTGACTAGAAAGCAAACAAGACCACAACGAGCTATTTTTTGGCACTACTCAAACTATTAATAATAAAGAAACTCCGACTGCAAAACGCTCCAGTGGCTTCTGGAGGGAGCCAGAGGGCGGGGACTTGTGGAATACCCAGAAAAGAAAAGCAAATTCCCCCCGATCCAGGTGGAAAAGGAGAATAACTGGTTTAAACGGGCTTGGGAAAAGGAAAGAGAGCGGCAACAGTAAACAGATAGAAACCCGGCGCTAAATCAACAAGCTGTCCGAGCTAAATGACTTTAATAATGTCAGAAAGGCAATTCACCTTTAATAAACAGCTTTCAAGAGGCGCTTTGTGGACTGGGCTCCTTACAGGGAAAATGTGAGGAGAATTAACGGCCGCCGTATCACCTCTCTGGACAAACCGCCCGTGCAGAGTCCTGTTGTCTGTATCTTCAGCTACATCTATAAATAATGGGGCCTCGGGCTCTAGCTTTCACACAGACACCGTCACCGGTGTTTGTGCCATAAAAGGTCAAAGGGAAGGGTTTCCCACACGTCCAGGAGCCGTCTGACTGACAAGACGGGATCAGCTTTCAGATCTGCAAAGCTACCGTTCTCAAAATCCCCAAAGATTTTAGTCTAAACTGGGAGGGGTTTGCATTCAAAACCAAATCTTTAAAAGGCAGATTGAGCAACATCTGCATTTGACCACAAACGTGTCGGTTGGATTTTTGTCAAAAGTCAAATTTGACATTTCTGTGTTGCTGTTTTTAGACTGAATTCATTTTTTTTTTTTTTCTGCTCTGAGTGTGGTTTATATTTGCTTTGTGATCTCCGGTTCATTAGCAACTTGCTCTCACAAGCGTATCCGTCACCACGAGGCATCAAAGACGTATTACGAAACAAGCAGGTGTCTGTGGCCACAAGAAGAGAGACTTTTCTCTCTTTTCCCGGTCACATCTGACCGCACACGACTCCACATGCGTGCGCTGCAAACTAGACGTGCAGAAGTCAGAGAAATGCACACAAGCTGTACAATACAAACTGCATGTCCTCATGCTTAAACTTACTGTTCACTTTTTGAATTTAACTGAGTTAAAAGATGGTTAGATAATAAAGTTGTCATGTAGTTCAGTTTTGAAAAAATATCTGCACACCCGTTTTTTTTTTTTTTCATTTTTCAGTGTTAATAATAGTTCAAAACAAGTCAAAAAGAGATAACTGTGACTTAGGCAACTGCAGGCCGAAGCTTATCAGGGTGGATTCAAGACAACCACAAACAGCTAAACGTGCACACAAGTTTGTGTCACAGCGTGTGATGTCACAGTTTCAAAGAAAGATATCATTACATCTGAAGATGCTGCTCAACTAGCAAAATAAAAAAGGCTGAAAACATGCCCTTCCAACTTGACAACGTTCATCAGAGCCCCAAAAACCAGGTGAGAGAGTTCACTTAAATTATTGTTAAATTAGGGGAACTTTGCTTTGTGTAAATCTGCTTTAAGCAGCCTTTCAGTGGCCGTGAGCACAGAGAAACTCCGGAGAAACTTCCATTCATACTGATGAAAACCACAAAAGCTCAAGTCTCAATCTCGCACATTATAATTTCATGTCTCTGCTCCTCCTCGATGAGGCATCAATAATACATGACCGGCGTATTTTCACCCTCCCAAACCGATCAATCACGCCGACTGGCCGGTGCTCCGACTCGGCTCATTACTCTGTCCACTCTGAGGTCCAGACACCGCTGGGTTTGGCTGAATGGGAGTCTCTACTAGGGATGGGACGGTTTCTGAAAACCGTCCGAACCGTTGGGTTGGACTGTCTCGGTTCGGTTCGCGTGTGTTGCGTTCGGTTCATGCTGCTCCTTTTTCTCAGAGGGAAGCGTGTTCACTCCAGACCAGAAGGTGGCGCTACTGCGCCCAAAGCCAACCACCAGTAGGAAACAAGAAGAAGAAGAAGCAGCGTAGCAGTTTCTAGGTCTGCTGTATGGACCACTTTGCATTTAGAGGGAAGCACATGTTGGAATTAGCACTGTTTCCTCTCTTGCAATGCCAGAGTCTCACCTACTTTTAAACCAAGACTGTCACAATGATGTATCAAATGTTAGAATGTTTTTTTCTTTCAGTTTTAACCTGACTATACGAGACATAATAGATTTTCCTTACAATCAACATATACCGAACCGAACCGAAAACCGTGACCACGAAACCGTGAATTGAACCGAACCGTGGATTTTGTGAACCGTCCCACCCCTAGTCTCTACTGTAACATCGTTCCAAGATGGTGGAACGACCTACCAAGCTACAAGAACAACAGAGTCCCTGTCTGTCTTCAAGAAACTCTTGAAGACCCCCTTCTTCAAAGAGCATCTCCTATCCTAACCCTAACCCGTACCTCTACCCCCCACAGCTCCTATCCTAACCCTAACCCGTACCTCTACCCCCCACAGCTCCT